GGATGCCGGTGAAGAGGGATGTGACAACGTAGGATGCCGGTGAAGAGGGATGTGACAACGTAGGATGCCGGTGAAGAGGGATGTGACAACGTAGGATGCCGGTGAAGAGGGATGTGACAACGTAGGATGCCGGTGAAGAGGGATGTGACAACGTAGGATGCCGGGTATGCTGATGAAGAGGGATGTGACAACGTAGGATGCCGGTGAAGAGGGATGTGACAACGTAGGATGCCGGGTATGCCGGTGAAGAGGGATGTGACAACGTAGGATGCTGCGTATGCAGGTGGAGAGGGATGTGACAACGTTGGATGCCGGGTATGCCGGTGAAGAGGGATGTGACACTGTAGGATGCCGGGTATGCCGGTGAAGAGGGATGTGACATCATAGGACACCATTGTTTCTTCTCTGCCCAATATTAAGTTCTGGATTTTGGTCGTGAAATCCGGAGAGTTCTGTATGTGGTGTTTGTGTATTTCCAACCAAAGGGGTGAGGACTCTGGCTCAGTATTTGGCCACGTTGTAAGTCACAGAGTTGATGCTGCTGATGATTGGCCTGAGAGGAGTACCAACCCTATGTATCTAAGTCCATATATACACGGAGGGGCTTCTTCACCAGGAGCTTCTTATCCAGCCTGTTCGGGTCCCTTCGTAGGGCTTCATATGTGTTGTTATCCTTCAGAAGTGCCGTCACCTTACCATCGTAGTACAACCGTGCATCTTCCTTTATCAGCAGGCCGGCTGGTGATGCTCTTGTCTTACCCCAGGGATGTGACCGCTCTCCTGTCTTCTGTAGTCAGGTTTGACGGAGGTGGTTTGGCCCCCGGCCAGGTCTGAAGACACTTTTAGGCGAAGTTGCTCAGCCTAACCCTGTGGCACTTTGTTACTGTGGATCTAGGCCTCAGTGGCTGAGATAACATGGGATGGTTCTGGGTGTGATTGCCAAATTCAACCACTTAGCAAAGAGATCCATCACGATTTGGGTGAGAACCTAGTCTGAAAGGTCCTTCACCCATCTGGCAATGTCCTCTGTTTCCTCCTTCCACCTCCAAGTTCATTCCTCACGAGTATGGCCATTTCCAAAATGGAGAGCTTGTTCCTTGCCCCTCGCGTGCTGAGCTAGCTGTGCGTGTACAGCCAAGTCTGCTGCACTCCTCCGAGTATCAGCAGGTACCTCCAAAATCAAGCTCTCTGCTAACCGATGGATTGTCAACTGTCAAATGGGTCCGCCGTACCCATTCATGAACCCCTCAAGAACCGAGGCCTTGTTTTCGTTTTTTGCACCCATTATAATCCACGTTTTAGGCCTAAAAATTTCCGTAAGCCCCCCAAACATGATATATTTTCTGAAAGCCGAGACCCCGTAGAATAAAATGGTGACAGAGAAAGCTGGTCTGATGACCAGCAAAACGTCTTTAAGAAAAATACATCGAGTCCAGTTGCCTGGATTTATTTTTTACAGATGAACCATGACCTGGAGGAATGAGAAACCTTCAGACATATTTTAATTTTCAGTAAATTAAATTATTTCCGTTATAT